AAGCTCAGAGTTACCCAGTGGGGAGGGGGATCCAGAGGTGGGTCTCTTCAGTCTGGGGTGGCCTTTGGTGGGGGAGCCGTCCCCGTCCAGCAGAGAGTCCTGAACAGAACAGACTCGTTTAGAACCTGGCCTCAGTGGATCGGGTTCATGAGATTTGATGGTTCTGGTCTCACCTGCATGAAGCTGAAGGAGCCGTGGATCTTCATCATCAGGTCCTCCAGGTGCTGCTTCCTCAGGACGGGGTCTTTGGGTAAGGCGGAGGGGGGGCTGAAACCGTCGGCGGGTACGTCCATGTGAACAGCCTGTCAGGAGAGGAAACGTGGCGCTCAGTGACGACCGTGGCGCTCCGTGGCGCTCCGTGGGCGTTAAAGACTTAAGTTAGTTTTTGACTCACGGCTCTGAAGTTCTGATCTCCTTTCACTCGTTTCTCTTTTCTCTGCAGAGAAAAAAAAAAGTCGATTTTGATCCAAACGGACAGAAAGAGTCAAAGTGAAGCTTCAGGTGATTTATGTCACACATTTAAAACATAAACAAAGAAGATTTTCAAAATAAAAGCCTGGTCTGATTTTTTTTTCTGTGGATGCTTTTATTCTGAAGGTGTCAGGATGGTTTTTGTTCATTAACAACAGGAAACAGGAAATACAGCGGTCCGCTCAGCTCTGACGTCAGTCCACGTTAAGGTTTTATTTACGTGTTTTTGATCATCATGTTTCCACAGATCCATCCTTACCACCGTCAATCAATCAATCAATCAATCAATCAATCAATCAATCAATCAATCACGATAAACAATCAAAGGTCTCTGCTCCCCCTCACCTGTTTGCAGTCAGCTGATTGGTTCCTGGAGGTTCCCGGGTTCTTGGGGATGAAGGCGGCGGCTCCTCTCCACGGTTTGGGAACTGAAGTTTGAGGAGAAGCTGCTCCATCCAACAAGTCCAGGTCCCAGCAGTCCGGAGGCTCCCGCTCCTTCAGGGCCTGAAAGTCCTCCTTCCAGCTCTGAGTGGGAGGAGCAGGAGGAGGAGGAGGAGTTTAAAGAGGGAGGAGTCAGTCAGATTCAGTCCTTTAAAAACTCTCAGATCACCAACAAGAACATCAGACATGAAAATTTAAAATGAAAGCAAGTTTCCTGTTTGTTTTTTGTGTCTGTAGTTTTTTTTGTGTGTTTTTTTTTCGTGTTTGTTTGTGTTTTTTGTGTTTTGTTTTTTTTTTCATTTTTTTGTTTGTGTTTTTTTTTCGTGTTTGTTTGTGTTTTTTTTCTCACCTCTCTCTTTGAAAGTCGGTTCGTTGATTTGGACTTTGAAGAAACTGAAAAAGAAAGGAGATGTTGAAGGAGGCGCTCTGAGGACGTCTGCTCTCACTCAGAAATGTTGGAGTTTCTTCTCCTTACTGTGATTGGCTGAACTCGGCTCCGCCTCCTCTGCAGGTGTGTGGTCAGGTGGAGGTGGAGGACGGGTGAAGTATTTGGAGTTCAACAGTCGGGTCACTTCCTCTTTCAGCAGCTTAACTGGAACAAAAAACCAGAACCAGAACCCCTGAAATAAAGACACAGACCGGACCTGCACGGACCAGAACTTCAGGTCAGACTCATATTTTTACTCTGGACCACTTGGTTCCTCCTTCCTCCAGTTTATGGACTTGAAGCTGAAAAGTTCTCAGTAATTCTGCGTTTTTTCTCCACTTCCTGAAACCAACATTGTTCAGTAACGTTGTTCACATTCAGAGGGAGAGTCGCTGTGATGACGCTCGGCTCAAACAGCGTATCCCCCGGTGATCTACTCACTCTCTGTCCTCCCATTGGCTGTATCAGGTGTCAATCATAGAAAACATGAACCCCCTAATAACTTTTAAAAATGGAGCTGTACAGAAAAAAGAGGACTTGAGCACAAACCAGTCTGACAGTAACTACATGTCAACATCACAACCAGGGGGGAGAAACATTTATATTCTGTGTCATTCATTTATAAAGTTTGTCCACAGCTCCATAAGGAGGCGGGGTTTATGACCTATACTGCAGCCCGTCACCAGAGGGCGCTGTTCTCACAGAGAGGAGGCAGACGCGTCTGTTCTAGATACAGGCTACAGTCGGACTCTTAACTTCAATCAGCCTGAAGGGTGAATTTCAAAATAAAAGCACAGTGATTTCTTTAAACCCACTTCCTGTCAGTAATAAACCCTCCTCTGATTGGCAGACTGAATAGCAGATAGGTTGATTAAATTATTCAGATTATTAATCCTCAGAGATTAGGAGGTCTTCATGAGGAGGGGGACCTTTTAGAGAGAAGAGGCGCTGACCTCCGACCTCCATCCAGGTTTTTACTCACATGTGGATCCGACCACCGGTTTGTCGCTCCCGTCCAGAAGATCCATGAAGACCAGAGCGGCTCGGTCCATCTGCTCGTCCAGACTGAGAGAGAGAGAGAGAGAGAGAGAGAGAGAGAGGAGAGAGAGGAGAAGAGAGAGAGAGAGAGAGAGAGAGAGCGCGAGAGAGAGGGAGAGAGAGAGAGAGAGAGGGAGAGAGAGAGAGTCAGACAGACACAGACACACCCCGCCTGCTCGCTCGCCCGCCCACCTGCCCCGAGGACGACGCCCACCTCAGCCTGTTGTTCCTCTGGACTCCCAGCAGGGGGCGGAGCTGGGTCAGACTGTGGAGCTGCTGGGAGGAGATCCGAGGAGCCTGGTTCTGTCCGGTCAGCAGGTCTCTCCTGATGTTCTCCTGCTGCAGACTGTGGAGGAGGTTCTGGACCTGCAGCATGATGCTCACACGCCTCCTCTCCTCCTCCATCTTAGCCGACGCCTCCTTCTTCACCGCCTTCTTCTGAGCTCGGAGTAACTGGACCAGGAGTCAAGAGGAGAGAGATCTGAGATGGGCCGATCGATCAACAATCACTGATCAGGTTAATGATCCACTGATCGATCAATAAACTCTGATTTAGTTTTTGATCAGCTGATTTTTCTGATCATATTTGGACGTTTTTTTTCTGCGACGGTTTGGATCCTCGGATGTTTCTGGTTCTGATGTGGTGACCGCTCTCTCTGCTCTCTCTGGGTTCACTTGTGAAAAAAAACAAACACTAAACTTATTAAAATAAAATTATTATTATTATTATCATTATTATAATAATTGTGAATCATTGTGATCTTGCTGTGATCTTGGAGGGTATCGGCTCTTCGTCTGATCTCGCTGATCTTTGAAGGCTGAAGCTTCATCTCGAGTTTCTTTTATCGGTTCACAAACTCACATTTATTTGATCCTCTCTGCTCGTGTAAAAATACTGCCATGACTGACCTGATTTTTTTTCTCCTTCTAAATCGTCTTTAATGCTTTTGACCTCCTCAACTGTTTTTGCCCATATTTGGACATAAAAAAGTTAAAGTTGAAGTGAATAAGAGGGTTGGACAGTTAACCTGTCCACACACTCCCCTCGTCCACACACACACACACACACACACACACTCACCGTCTGGGTCAGGTTGTCCAGAGTTTTGTGCAGCTCTTGTGCGAACACCAGGTTGTGTTGAACCTCCTCGTATTTTTCCACCGCCGCCTGAAAAACAAAGAGACCCGCAGATCGAAGACGAGAAACTCTTTAAGGGTTTTCAATGAATCCAGGTCCTGGTCTCACCATCTGGTCCTTGTTCAGAACATCTCCTCGGGTCAGTCTCTTCTTGTAGTCTTCTAGTTTGAGCTGTGGACCAAACAGACCCGTCAGAACCTGATCCAGAACCTGATCCAACTCTCACCTCCTCCTCTCACCTTCTTCTTCTCCAGGTTTCGGACTTTGTGTTTGAGGCAGATGAGGCCGTCTTCGATGTAGTTCTCATAGTCATGGTAGGTCGTGGTGACCTCCAGGGCGTTCAGGCCACAGGACACGCCCACTTTAGGGTCCTCGTGTCTGTCCCCCCCCTCCTCAGGTGGAGGGGTGACATCCAGGGGAGGAGAGGGAGACAGCTGCACCATGTTGAGCTCCACACTAGGAGAAACAGAGGGACACGTGTGTGTGTGTGTGTGTGTGTGTGTGTGTGTGTGTGTGTGTGTCCGTGCTCAGGCCTGAAGAAAACTGTGAACCTCCAGCTGCAGAGAGCAGGTCTGCAGGTTTCAGGAGGAGGGTCTGGATCCGGGTGGAGGTGGAGGTGGAGGTGGAGGCAGCCCAGTTTGGGCAGCAGCCAACCCCGTGACAGAGCACTTCTCCGGGCTCCAGAGAGAGCAGCAGCAGCGAGCTCTCTCTGGATCAATCAGGAACACAAAGACAAACAGACCAGAACAGGACCGAACACAGCCGAACACAGCCGAACAGGGCCGATTTCACGGACCTTAAATGACCCAGAGTGACCCACGTGACCCACTTTTCCACGAGTCATCCTTCCAGCAAAGGTTCGGGTGAGAAAAGAGGAAATAATGAAGAAAATAAAGAGGAGAAGCTCTCAGCTCAGAGGGGAATCATGACAGAGAAAGTCAAACAAACTTCAACAGAAACACCGGATTACAACCGGATTAGAACCGGATTAGAACCGGATTAAAGGGGAAAATCACCACTTTGGGTCCACAGGTTCCGAGTTTAACACGCCAACATTAAACACACACACCCACACACGCATACACACACAGACACGCCACGCGGATGAAATCAGCTGACCCACCTCGTGTGCCTCAGATCCTTCGGGAAAAACCGCTGGACATCCGAAAAAGGCCGAACCGGCGAACCCCTCTCTCCTCCTTCACTGACAGAGACCAGGCCGGACTCAGCTCCGAGCTTTTTATACCCTCAGCTGATCCGTCCATCCGACCACATCCGGGTCCGACACCTGCAGCACATGACCACCACCCCCCCACCACCTTCCAGCAGGAACCAGGAGAACCAGGACCGAACCAGAACCAGAACCAGTACAGAGGAGACCGACCGGGACACTTCAGAGATCCTCTCTACACTTGCAAAGTCATGATGTACGGAAGCCTTATGAGGCAAAAACAAAAAACTGATTCTTCAGTTTTTTAAACTTTAAAAGTTTTCTTGAGTGTAAAATTCTACGGTGGCCCAGAAGGTGAACAGGAGGAATAATAAAAAAATTAACATGATTCATAAAACAAATTTTAAAAGATGCACAAATAGTTTATTGAACACAAAATGAAACAGCTGCAAATTACTTTGATATTTAATGAAATACAAAAAGATTTTTTTACAAAACAACAAAATAATAATAATAGTAAGAATTATTATTCATGACTCAAATGTTTTTAAGCACAGATATTTTAGGAAATGAAAAAATAAATAAAAATAAACAAAATTGAAAAGTTTCACAGAACACAAAAAACTTTCCTTGTGGAGTAAAAACAGCATCTTCAAACTCAATAATGTTGAAATTATCGTTAAAATACAAACATAGATATATCTCACTATTTTAACGGTTTTAATCCAAAGTTAAAATAATTATTGAAATACAGAAATCTGAAGTCCTGCCCGGTGTGTTTGTCCTCCTCCTGTGAGACTCACCTGGACCTTCATGAAAAGATTGACGGGTCTGAAGAAGCAGAACCTGGAGGACAGAGTGTGAAGGAACCACGACAGACCTCTGGAGATGTTCTGGAAGTCCAATCTGACGGGGTTCAGGTCCGAGGAGGGCGGGTGTCAGAACCCCATCCTCAAATCAAACACAAGAGGCGGGACCAGACGTGACGATCAACATTTATTGGACATTTGGAAATGACAAGTGTATAAAAATACAAACTTCACTTTTCTCTCTGTGAAATCTTCCTTTACAGACAAACTCGGAGTTTATTGATCAGGATCATGAAGCTAAACTCAACAGGAAGGAGGAGGAACATCTAAACTACAGCCTTTAAATACAAACTTAGAATACAATCATCTCACTGTGGCAGCATCTATCTATATAGATATCTACACAACAACCAGAAGTTAATAAATACGGCTTCGGCCCGGTTTACTCCACCTGTGTGAGATTTCTCTGAGTTCATACTGAGTCAAACACTTCAAAGACGTCATGACAAAGAAAAGAAACTCAAAGAAAGACGTTCTTGTTTTTACAGCTGAAACGCCGAAGTGTCGGACAGCGACGACCTTCAACAACTTCAGGAAAGAAACGCTGAGAGCGTTGTGGGCGGAGCTTCTTCACATTTATTAACTCATTACAAAAATAAACTCAAACTGTTCAACGTCACCCAAACGGGTCAGCGCAGGTGTGTGAGAACTTCATGCGAACGACTCCGACGTCGTCTAAAGATCAAACTCTAAATATTTACAGACACGGAGAACGAGAGAAGAGTCCTCACAGCTTCACCGTCTTATTTCAACGTCTGTTTCTGTAAAAAAAGCTGCTGCTGCTGAAGAGTGTCGGGTTTTTGTTCGGTTATTGCCGTGACCTTCCTGAGGATGTTTGTTAGCTTATTCAGTTTGATCCGTTTCTCGAACCTCAGCTGCGCGAGGACGAGTAAAGTTCGACACCTTCATTTGTGCTCCCCCCCCCCCCCGTTATCATTTTACAGTAAATTCATGGTTTCTCGTTAAACTCCGACTCCTGACGCTCCGTTCGAACACAGCGGGTCAGTTTGGGTGAAAGTCGTGTTTGTGCGTTTTTTTCTTTTTAACGTGAGAAAAAAAACAAAAATAGAGTTTTTTACTGTTTTTACTGACTGATGCAGGAACCTTCGGTCACCCTCATCAGAGCCACGGAGAACCTTAAAGTCCAGAACTGCAGAGACTCAGGGTTTCATGATGCTGCAGCCAGGAGATCAAGGTTCGTGTGGAGTCTGGCGCCCCCCTGTGGAGACGGTTATACACACACATACATACATACACACATTATAGCTTGTTCCTAGTGTCTCAAGGTCGTTCTTCAGTGTCCTTTAATGTCTGTATGAAATGAGAAGATGGAGATAAGAGACCGGAGAAGGTCCTGAACCCCACCAGAGGAGAGGCCGTGGAGTGGGCGGGGCTTTGAGTTAAAGTGGCGTGAATTTCTAATCGTCTGTTTTTGTTTCATTCAGATCTTGTCCTCTGAGGAATCACAGAAACATCAGAGAAGAGTCTGGAGGAGAAAAGTGGGAGGAGTCACTCTGCTCCCGCCGCCGCCGTATGGCTCCATCCTAACAGTAAAGGGTTAAATCCAGAGGTCGCCAGGTTTCCGAGCAGCAGCGAAGAGTCCAGCATCGAAGACAAACAAGATATTTACAAAAAAACTGAATCTGACCGAACACAGAGAGGGTCCCAGGAGGTCCTGGTCTCTCTGGTCCTCAGAGTTCAGAGCTGCATCAACGTGAAGGTCCCAAAGACTCTGGGTCAGAGGTCGAGGAGGTCGAGGAGGTGGAGGAGGCGGGGTCAGAGACCAGAAAACAGCATCACTCGTCTGCTGGCTGCTCCAATCAGGTGCTGAACCCTCATGAACCGTTTAAACTGAGGCAGAGAGGCGGGTCAATGTTAACCTGTGAGGACGCCGTCAAGCTGGCGGTGCGAGCTCTGATGATGTCAGACTCACTGTAAACTCAAGGCCTCGACTTTTAACCCTTTAAAGGCTGAAGACATTCGACTTCCTGCTGGAAATGACGGATATTTGAACCAATCGTACAGAAACCTGCGGAATGTGATCTCGATCGACCGAAGGACTGATCGATCAATAACGGCGTCTCCGTGGAAACGCCAGTTTGGTTTGGATATCAGAGCAGCAGCAGACTGTGGCGACGGTTTATCGTGTCTTTGACTTCACCAACCCTGAGCCGTTATCACCGTGACTCCTCCTCCTCCTCCCTCAGCTCCTCCTCCTCCTCCCTCAGCTCCTCCTCCTCCCTCAGCTCCTCCTCCTCCCTCAGCTCCTCCTCCTCCCTCAGCTCCTCCTCCTCCCTCAGCTCCTCCTCCTCCTCGTCCTCCTGTGAAGGTATTGAAGGTGGCGTCATGCTCACTGGGTTCTGTCTGTTTTCCTCCTCTTCCTCTTGTTCCATCTCCTCCTCCTCTCCTCCTCCTTCCTCCTTCTGCTGGTGGAGGTCTGGTTTCCTCTGACAGCAGGGCTTGAACAGGTGGGGGTCGATGAGGATTTCTCCGTAGCGTCCTTTGTACACGACGCCGCAGCACACCTTCTGCCTGAAAGGTCAGAGCGGTCATGAAGGTTAAAGATTCAGTTTCTGCACCTGTCGGGGGGGTTTGTGTCTGTGGAGGAGACCCTTACCTTTTCCAGTAGGTGAGGTCCAGGAAGGAGAAGACCTGTGAGTGGGCGGAGCCAGAGGAGAGCTCAGTGTCAGAGCCTTCGTCTGATTGGTTGCTGTAGCTGGGTGACTGAGCAGGTGAGGCGCTGGAGGTGGAGCTGTGAGCGTCTGAGTCTGAGAAACAAACAAACAAACAAACAGTCAAACTCGTTATTTTGGGACGAATTTTAACGTGATGAAGATTCACAGAGTGACTCGCACCAACGATCGGAATAAGGAGGAGGGCACACTGCCCCCTGCTGGTTAAAGAAGTGTGCTGCATATTATCTACTCTGAAGTCCATTCAGTTCAAATCGAGGAAAAGACGAAGGAAACGACGACAGGAAATAACTCTGTACGAGATTTAATGAGGCGGAGTCAATCTGGACGACAAAGGAGAAACCTCCTGATTGGTTAGATTTCAAAAACGTTTGTGCTTCAGTTTTCTTCTCAGTAGTTTATACAGCCTATGGTGGTGACGCTCTGGAGGATGTAGAACATTCTAGAATATCACCGAACATTCCGTAACATCAAAGACATTCTAAAAGATCAATAACATTCTATAACATCAAAGACATTCTAAAAGATCAAACATTCTATGACATCAAACACATTCTAAAAGATCAATAACATTCTGTAACATCAAACACATTCTAAAAGATCAATAACATTTTATAACATCAAACACATTCTAAAAGATCAATAACATTTCGGAACGTTTGAGAAAATTTTGGACTTTTGGAAACATACTGGAACAGTCCAAGAACATCTGTGACATCATCAAACCTTCCTACGAGTTCTAAAGTCATCAGAGCCGCTCTGACAGATGTTAGGGGGACACTGTTGGGTCCTCTGTTCAACACCATAGACGGTATGTCGTCTGTCTCCTCTCTGTGAGAACAGCGCCCTCTGGTGACGGGCTGCAGTATAGGTCATAAACCCCGCCTCCTTATGGAGCTGTGGACAAACTTTCTAAATGAATGACACAGAATATAAATGTTTCTCCCCCCTGGTTGTGATGTTGACATGTAGTTACTGTCAGACTGGTTTGTGCTCAAGTCCTCTTTTTTCTGTACAGCTCCATTTTTAAAAGTTATTAGGGGGTTCATGTTTTCTATGATTGACACCTGATACAGCCAATGGGAGGACAGAGATTGAGTAGATCACCGGGGGATACGCTGTTTGAGCCGAGCGTCATCACAGCCACTCTCCCACCAAATGCGTATGATGTTGGTTTCAGGAAATGAGGAAAAATATCGGAAATACCGAGAACTTTTCCAGCTTCAAATCCGTTTACAGGCGGAAGGAGGAACCAAGTTGTCCAGAGTAAATACAGTCTGTGGTTTAAACCCTTACCCTCATTAGATCAGGACCAGTTCCACCCAGTTTAAACCCTTAACCTCATCTGCCTTTATGCTGATTGGTTCTCAGCAGACAGAAGAGAGGAGCGGTTCATCTTCATTTACCATCTCAGCTCTGAAAACTCTGACGCAGCATCTTCCTGTAAATCCACTCACTCTGTGAGGACGGCAGCTTTCTGGTATAGAATATTCTGGTAAGAAATCCGGGCTTCACAGCGACTCCTTTTTACTGGAAACCAGGTTTTACTCAGAATAGTTGTGGAGTGGTCGATCAGAATCGTACTGGTGACAATGAAAACTGTAGTCTGTGGTGTTAGCCTCTCAAAACTCGTACGATGAGACGTCTCAACATTTAAAATCACATTTATTCTATAGAAGAGGAACAAAACAGCGTTGGCTGTTTGTCAGAGCCAAAGTCGGTTCTCTACGCTGCAGTATTGACGATTCGACGAGTTGACAACGGCCCACGACATCGACCAACATTCAAACCAGACGAAACGAACCAAACGAAGGGATGTGTTGGTGAAACCTCCTCAGAGGGAAGAACAACGTCAGAGTGACTCTCGGTCAAACCCACTCGCTTCGTGAGAACGGCGGCGTTTTGGAGATTTACTGTGAGATAAATAAAATCAGAGTTTCAGATCAACAGCATGGAATGAACTCACTGTTCCTCTTCAGCTCACTCTGAACTCGACTGATCTGTTTGGGTCTCAGTTTCTTCTTCATCTTGGTCCTCAGCGTGGCCTTCATGCTCGACCCGGCTTTAGCGTCCACCACCTACAAACACACAGATTCATGTTACAACAGAGCGTGCACAGACGAGTGAATCTGAAGGCAGAAATAAGCTCCGTGTGTCCTCCTCACATGGTTCCAGTTCTTCTTGGATCCAGCTGGAAGTTTTTTCCACCTCTTCACTAAGAGGACGCAGGCGTTACAGATGTCGCCGTAACGCACCTCAGCCAACCTGCAGGGAGACAAAGAGTCACCTCAGCCTCGAACGGGGACAGGAAAGAAGACGGACCAGAGACGTACTCTTGTGGCTCACAGGGGTGGGCAAAAATATCGATATGGCAATATATCGCGATACTTTGACTTCCGATTCAATATCGATATTCAAAATATTAATATCGATTTTTTGTTCAAATAATAAATCAGGTTTCAGACGGGTTAACAAATCCAATACGACTTCCGCACCTCCACTCCGCTAGGTGTCGCTGTACCGCTACCTCACTTCTTCTCTTTTTTCCCCCGCCGGTTGCAGTGAGGAAGAGGAGCCGGGAAAAAAACAATCAAGCATGGCTGGTAACGTTAAACTAGAAACGCCCTCGAACTTTAAGGCAGATGTTTGGAGATACTTTGGATTCCAAAGGAAAGGAGAAACACACAATGAGCTGGACAAAGAGTACGCGCTTTGCAAACTCTGTGTCGCTCCCATTAGATATTCGGGTAACACAACAAACTTGAGAACTCATTTAGCAAGACACCACCGCGACATATTAGCTCAGCCGGAGCCACCGAAACCTTCCGATCCAAAGCAAACTACACTGGACATCGCCAAAGTCCTCCCATCTACTTCAACCCGAGCCCGGGGGATCACAGAGGCGATGGTGCATTTTCTTTGTAAAGATTTGCGCCCATACAACGTTGTGGAAAACGTCGGCTTTCGGTGGATGCTTCATACTTTGGAGCCGCGCTATGTGATGCCGCAGCGTAAGTACATGGCTAACGTAGCTGTGCCAAAAATGTATGACGAGGTGAAGGAGACAATAAAAACAGTTCTTAGCTCTGCTTCGAGAGTCGCACTGTCCTGTGACGGTTGGACATCACGAGCCACCGAGTCCTACATTACAATAACGGCGCACCACATTAATGCCGAATGGGAGCTGGTAACACATGTGTTGCAGACGAGAGCCATGTACGAGAGCCACACTGACAGATTCAATTCAGTTTCAGTATGTGGACACTGACCCACACTGCAGTTTGTGTCATAATTGTGCTCAGGGAGACTAAGAATAATGCACACTGCACTTTTCAATGTGTTTCAGACAGTGTGTTGTTCACGCAAATATGTTGTAACTTCCACTTACAATAAAATGGCATTGATGATTTGAATTACATTGTTTTGACTGTTTGTCCCATGAATTATCACTATCATCTGATGTACATACAACTGGGATTTTAAGATGCATAATGCCTTTTACATTTTTCAGTGAACTATGTAGAATATCGCAATATATCGCAATATATCGCAAACATTTGGATATCGCAATATCATATCGTATCGTGACTCAAGTGTCGTGATGCGTATCGTATCGTGAGGTGCTTGGCAATACCCACCCCTAGTGGCTCAGCAGTTCAGATGTATGACAGACTAAAAGTAAAATGTAACACGGTGAAGACATCGGTTTTATTTCCTCATCTGAGTCATGGTGGAGCTCAGATCAGATCTCTCTATTCTGTGGGGTTCCTCAGGGGTCTACTCTGGCTCTTCTTTTATTCATTATTCATATTTATCAGCCTGAATCAAACATGTGAAGAATCCCCACAGCAGAGATGTTACACAGCTGTCCCACATGTCGTAAATCCTGAACTTCTCTCGGTGACACCGACTCACCCGAAGCAGCTCTTGAAGTTCATCTCGTAGCGTTTGCTGTCGGTGAAGCGGGAGCTGGAGGACTTGGCTCTGCAGATGCAGCAGCCATCGATGCTCCGGTACATCTTCGGCTTGTGGAAGTTAAACATCTAAAAGAAACGCAGGGAGACAAAAATGTAGGAAAAGATGAGGACGGTCTGCCCTGCAGCTTTCAGCCAAAGTTCAGCATTTTCTCCCATCAAGTTCAGATCTGCAGGTTTGACAGTTCTGATGGTTGATACACGCGTGCATCATCTCAGCACCGTCACTCTCTGGAGACGGTTCTGATCGAGTCGTGTTACTTTAGAGATATTTCTGTTTTGTGATGAAGGATATCTTTAAATGTTTAATGATGAGGAGAACATCTGTAACTTTGTTGGTCTGGGTCAGGACGCTCTGTGTAGAGGTTTTTACTCTCAGTGAAGCTTTCCTGGTTAACTCCACTAAAATAAGAATAAATTTACATCTTTAAAGTTAAATCTTTCTTTTCCAAGTTTTTAAATCAGGTTTTTTTTTTTCAGGACATGCAGAGAGAAGTTTAACGTCTGAACACGTGAACTACAGTTAGTGCTGGGCGATAAAACCATAACGATATCAAAAATTATTTTCCTTCAATATCAAACATGATCAATATCCTTTTCAATAGTCATCATTCCGACATGTTTTGGTCGACTATACGAACAGCCAATGAAAAGGGGAGTTTCTCCGGGTCTGAACCAATCATGTTCTGAATTAGAACCAAGTATCAACCAACTGCAGCGTCGTAGCAGACAGCAGCTCCACCCAACCATAGCACTTTAACAGGTGAAGCCGACAGCACTGTTGGTGAGAAACAAAGAAAATGAGTGCTACCCCCGACAGAAATGACCATGAAGGCTCAACAGATGACCACATCAATGTCAACCACAACACTGGCGTTAGGAAAACGTCGGTGGTGTGGAGGTATTTTGGTTTTTGGAGGTCGGACATGAAGCAGAGTAATGTGGACTGTAAATTATGTCGAGTACATGTTCTCACAAAGTCGGGGAATACCTCAAATCTTTTTCACCACCTGAAGCAGCGCCACGCCGCAGAGCACGCGCAACGCAAAAGGTTACAAACCCCGAGAGGAGCGAGGAGCCCGTGGCGCCTGAAACAGACGACCATTCAGTCGTCTTTCTCTAGAGGGACGCCTTACGACAAAACGCCAAAGAGACACAAAGACCTCACAGATGCAGGAGATTATTGTGTTGGAAAAGACATGAGACCAAGAAACACTGTTAGATTTATAGATCCTGATATTGATCCATATCAGCTGATAGGAAAATAATATATATATCCTGATAAACTTTTTCACATATCGCCCAGCCCTACTCTTAGTGAGGCTTTCCTGGTTAAGTCATTTAAAATAAGAATAAATAATAAATGAAATAAAATAAGAATAAATTTACGTCTTTAAATTTAAAATTTATTTTCCAAGTTTTTAAATCCTGTTTTTTGAGGACATGCAGAGAGCAGTTTAATGTCTGAACACATGAACTACGTTTCAGAATATTTAACCCTTTCATTTACAGCCTGTAGTGGTAGGCCGACGTAATAAGCACGTTTGCCCTCCCCCCACCCCTCCTGTTCCTCCTGTGGAGAGGTAAAGGGAGGAGGAGGGGGAGTAAAGGGGGTGTGTGCTGTGCAGTAAATGAAGCAGGTTATCGGCTGAGCATCACTGACAGAGAGAGAGAGAGAAAGAGAGAGAGAGAGAGAGAGAGAGAGAGAGAGAGAGAGCTGGCCTGCCTCTTATGCAACAGTGGTGCTGATGCAACTGGAGGTTCGACATGTGGGGATGAAGCTGCTGATGGACAAACAAATAAAAACTACATCTGTGGTCGAGTCTAATAAACTCATCCTCCTCCTTTATTTCCATCTGATCCAACAAAATAAAACACTAACGTTTGTCATTTTAAACAAAAGACTTTTTTAAAAAGTGCAAAATTCAGACTGATATAAAGAGACTTTCAGTAAAAAACTTCAATGTTTTTTTTTTACAGAGAAAATGTTTCTCTGAACATCCTAATGGAGCTGATGCTGGCAGTGGTTGTGTAATCGCGTCCCAGAGCCTCCATGGCACATGGATGCAGGAGGATGGAGGATGGACGGAGGGATGGATGGAGGGATGGATGGAGGCGTGCTGCATGCCGACTCATGCTGCTCTGTCTGCGGGTCTACAGACACTAAATGAGGTTAGAAAGTTGACAGAGAAGGACTGACGGTGGAGAAGTTTGAGGTTTTTAAGGTTTTTTTTGTTCTCAGGGAACAAAGTGAGCAGGTCCATACAGGTCCAAACAGAGTCCATACAGGTCCATACAGTCTGCAGAGGGGCGTGAAAATCTCAGTGACCTCAACAGAAATAAAGAGTTCTGCTCTGATAAAACTATAACCTGAATTAAGTCTGATTTAATCTATTATTCGGTGGTTTTCAGGTCCATCCGCGGTTCAAAGTGTAAAACTAAAACAATCTCTGTGTGAAAATGAAGATCACTCAAAAAACTGACGGAATACAGAAGTATGAATAGACTTCATCCCGGTTCGGTTCTGCAGAATAATCCTCTATATTTAAAAAGAAATACCCTAAATGTATAAATATATTTATATATGTACTGATGTTAAATGTGCAGAGGAGTCGGTGTGTAACAATGGCTGCAGCCGTAAACCTGTCAGCTCGGATTGACTCAAACCTCTTTAGTTTAATAAAAAAAAACAACATTATTATATGATATTAAACTAAAGAGGAGCAGGAATAACAGAGAGAGTTTTAATCCTGATGTTTTTATTCTGTTAATGATCCGGTTTAAAGGCTGAAGGGGGGGGGCAGTGACGCAGAAACACACCCACCAACCTGACAACAAAGTCCGAGTCTACACTCACACTAAAACACAACAACTGACTACAAAACACACAATATTACAGTTAAACATCCACGTACTCTTTAACGACCATCTCCACATGGTTCTGTTCGTCTCTGTGAGGTTCTGACCATCATCATCCTCATCCTCTCCGAACTTTAAACACACACCGACCGAACAAAAACAGGAATTTACCCGAACAAACAAACTCAGAGAAACTCTTACCGTGAAGAAAGAGTGAAATCTGTCCGCTTCACTCCTCCGTCAGGAGCAGAAAAAACACTCTTCTGTTCAAAAAGTCAATCTCATTCAACAATACAGACCCTCAGCCCGCCAAAGAGGCAGCAGCACGCCGTGTTAGAGAGCACTTCCGGTTAATAATTTCAAAATAAAGAGGCCTTTTTTAAAAAAACATTAAGTCTATGTTCACACTGCAGGTCAATTCCGATTTTTTAACCATATGTGACTCATACCTGATTTTTTCATCTAAGTGTGAACAGGTCAGTTCTGATTGGTTGTAATCCGACCCAGGCCTCTTCTGTATGTGGATATAAATCGGATATACCGTATTTTCGCACCACAAGGCGCACTAAAAATCCTTTTGGCTTGTCGGAGCACTGCAGCCACCGTAGCCTCGTAGAGTTATTCACTGAGTTAAATAATTAACTCAGTTATCTGACTGTTTTGTTTTGCTTCATTTGCTTTATATTCCAGGGCGCCTTATTGGAGGAAAATAGACACGAATAGACGCGTTCATCGATGGTGCCCCTTATAGTGCGAAAAATACAGTATGTATCTGATGTGACTGCAGCGTGGACGCTCAGGTCTTGTTCATCTGACCTATACATCATCAATATACGACAAACGTCACCATTGTTCGACAACACAAACAGGCGCGGAGAGTAATTTGTGTTTTGTGGGCATGCGGGTCACTTCACGGACGCATTCGTTTACATTAGATGATCGTTGTTGTAATGTGAACGACCGCACAAAAAGATCGGATTTGACAAAGAATCTGAATTGTGCCTCAGAACCTGCAGTGTGAACGTAGACTAAGTGACTAAAACAGAAAATCGACCATCCAAGAGTCCCTGTAGGTAAAAAGGAGCCTCTGTTAACATCGTTTAATTTGTGGACATGTGTAGTTTTTTTTTTGTGTGCGTGTGTTTGAACAAATTAAAGTTTTTGATTGTCGTATATTTTACAGTGTGTTATCAAACGGGCACAAGTTAATCATTAGTTCACACAAGATAATGTTCGGATAGGTAATCCCGTTTGTACCCAGGTTATAACAAGATATTTCTGTTGTTTGAATAAGATAGCTCCATGTAGCCTTTTTACAAATACACGTTTAAAGGTTGTGTTGTCAGGTTCATATTCTGTACAAATGTAATTAAACATTTTAGGTCTGATAAGGATCCGTAGAAACGTTCACTTCATAAAAAACAAACAAAGAAACAGGACGTTTTTAGAATACATAATTATTTTTTTCGTCAATCCATTTTAACCTTAATGTACGTTTTTAACAGGCTGTTAAGATTAATTTTAGTCTCTGCAATAAACTTTCAATCTTCAGACACAGCACCATAATGTGCTCTTATTTTGAAGGTCTCGTCAACATTCTCTGTTTCCGCCGTGACTCACTTCTGTACAATGACACCGCAAGCGTGCCTGGAGTAGAAACGTCCACGCAGGCGCACTGTGAGAGCCTCGCGCCACCATTTTCTGATTTTTTTTTTTTCACTCTTTCTGTGACGTCATCTTACGTAAACACCTTCAGCGCCAAATAAGGATTTGCGCGGGAAAAGACAGAAGGCTGCAGTAAAGTAAACCACCAGAGAGGGGCGCTGTAAGAGCTCTCTGTTTCTTTTTTATCTTATTTTCATCATTTTTTTGTTTCTCTTTAGTTTTTTTGTCTTTTTTTAATCTAATTTTTTTATCTTTTTTTGTTTCTCTTCTGTAGAAAATTTGCTCAACTCAAGATTTATTAATTTGCACATTAATTAAAATATAAGAAAAGGGCTGATATTTAGGTCAGTCATATTGGATCTGAATAAACTTTAAAAATATCGACACTTTTCCGTCTTATTTCTGTAAATTAAATTTTAGTTGATATAATAACTGGTTATTAACACTATAAACACTATTCAGTTTCTGATGCTGTCAGAAAAAAGCAGAAATATTTAATAAAAATAGTGAATTTTAACCTTTTGAGGAGTTTTCTGTCGTCAGACTTTAAAGTTTTCCTTCAGCTGCAGCTCAAACAAAAAGAGTGACGTGGAAAAGTTCATTTACCTCATTATTTTATTTAAAAAGTGAAATAATTCAATTATCAGATTATAAGCCTGAAGGTCTCTAAAACCTCCTGCTGGACTTGAGTCCACGTTGACTCTGGACTTGATCAAACACAGCGGACCAGATTACATGGACCCCCAGAACCATCACAGACTAGAAACTTCATTCTGGACTTCAAGTTCCTCAGATCTTCATTCAGACTCTGGGATCTTCAGTCCGGCTCTTCTTCTTCTTCTGTCAGAGTAAAAATGTAAGTTCTTCATCTCTTTCAATTCAATCTCACACTTACACACACACACACACACACACACACACACACACACACACACACACACACACACACACACACACACACACACACACACACACACACACACACTCTATGAAACCTTGAATATGACACCCTCAGAGTTTAACACACTCGGTGCTTTTATTGAAACAGGCATAATAAATATCCGAACAGTGTCAGTCACGTTAAACTCTCTCGTCCGAGTTTCTCGTCACTCTCAGGTTCTTGTAACAAATCCTCACGCTGAGCTGAGCTGAGCTGAGCGTGTTTGAGTCTGAAAGGACGACTGACGATCATCCACGGTCAAAGTTCTCCTCCAGAAAAATCAGGAAGAGACGAGGAATCTGTTTTTTTGTGCTTTGGAGCTGAGGGTCGTCCTGTATGAACACGAGGCGTCATCATCATCATCATCATCATCATCATCATCATCATCATCATCATCATCATCATCATCATCATCATCATCATCAGCAGGACCACAAAGGGTTAAAAAAACGTGAAGAAGAAACACGTGAAGAAGAAACAGTGGTTACAGCTTTAAAAACACGATCATCTTCAGTGATTCCACAGGCGTCATCGACCCTCAGGTCTTCACTCATGAATTAAAACTAAATTAATAAATACATAAAATAACGACGAACAGAGACGGACATGATGAGTTCAAATAATCAACACTAACGACAGGGCGGCGGGCTGCAAACATGTCCTCCTCTCATTGTAAATACAGTCTAACCGTGTCTAACGTGCACTAATGACAATATTTACACCATTCAAACCCGGGACAGCTGTGGTCTGAAGGGGGCGCTACATCTGTTCATCTGTCACTGACGAAGACGAGCCTCCGATCTACAGCAGGAGGTGAAAATTAACCACAGAGTCCCCAAAAGTGACAGGCGTGCTGCGTTCAGGTGACGTGGGAATTCACAGATGATGGAACATCTCAGCTGTTTACGCCGACAGTCAAACAAACAAACAAACAAACAAACAAACAAACAAACAAACAAACAAACAAACACCCCAGGACAGAAAGACGGACCACAGATGATCGAACCCTTCAACCTCAGCGGTGACCAATCACAGCGAGTAACAGAGGATCCCTTAAAAAACGTCAAAGTGGACGAAAACAAACAACACACACACACACACACACACACACACACACACTCACACACACACACACACACACACTTGGAAACAGTTGTAATCAGCAGGATGATGTTTGTAGTTTTAGGAGGAATGTCATGGTCAGGTTGATTTCTTCACTCGTCGTTCATCTCGCTCTCTCTCTCTCTCTCTCTCTCTCTCTCTCTCTCTCTCTCTCTCCCTTTCTCTCTCTCTCTCTCCCTCTCTCCCTCTCTCTCTCTCTCCCTCTCTCTCTCTCTCTCCCTTTCTCTCTCTCTCTCTCCCTCTCTCTCCCTCTCTCTCTCCCTCTCTCTCTCTCTCTCTCTCTCTCTCTCTCTCTCTCTCTCTCTCTCTCTCTCTCTCTCTCTCTCTCTCTCTCTCTCTCTCTCTCTCTCTCTCTCTCTCTCTCTCTCTCTCTCTCTCTCTCTCTCTCTCTCTCTCTCTCTCTCTCTCTCTCTCTCTCTCTCTCTCTCTCTCTCTCTCTCTCTCCCTCTCCCTCTCTCTCTCTCTCTCTCTCTCTCTCTCTCTCACTGTCTCTCACTCTCTCATATAAAGACGTACCTACAGGAGGAGGGCGGAGCCACACGGAGAACACCTGGGGGGGGGAATCGGCTGAGAAACAAACAACGACCTTTGACCCCGTCAAAATTCTTTACTGCTTCACTGTTGCTGACGGGTTTTAATGTCGACCTCCTTTAAAGTCTGAAGGTCACGTGTGTTCGTGTTAACTCGCCGTTTAAAGTCGTTCCAGTTTGTTGAATCTGTAAAAAGTGTCGATCTGTTTTTGTCGACAGCTGCTAAAAGGAAACGCTCTCAAACGTTTCTACGGTGGCCCTGAAGGTCAAACTGCACAAACACGTCATCATCATGAGAGACTTTTTACCCGAGCTGAAAAACATCAAAAACACACAAAAACTTTTCATGAAATCCAGAAAAAAACGCTAAAAAAACATTTTTGACTGATTTCAGTTTTTGTGTTTTTGTCGTTTTTAAAAATTTTCAGGTTTGAGGAAAAACTTTTAATTTCATGTTTTTATGTTTCATGAAATATTTTTGTGTTCTGAAAAATATTTCGGGGTCTCGGCTGATTTTTGTGCAGCGGACCTTCAGGGCCACCGTATCTTCTTGACACCCACACGATCACATGACCACTGGAGTGACCGGTCAGATCCGGAGGAGGGTCAGAACACCGAGTCCAAAACGCCGTCGTCTCACAGTGACCACCCTTCCCCCTCTTCTGGTCACATGACTAATCCGGATCCAGTCGGCTAAGGTTCAGGTTTCCGAGCGGAGCGGCCGCCCGTTGGTCCCTCCTCGGGGTTAAAGGTCGATGCCTTTGACCAGCGAGGCCTCCAGTGTGATGGGGAAGTCGTGCAGCATCTCCACGACCCCGATGAGGGCGTTGACGGTGGTGCGGTCTCTGAGCAGCGCCGTGTCTTCGTACATCCGCAGGATCACCGGGCACTCCACCAGCAGGGGGAGCCACTGAGGCAGCAGACGGTCCCTGCAGAACAAACGGCGAGATGGGTGAGAGAGCGCCGATGAGTGAAAACAGCAGAAGAAGAGATGTTTGACCCTCCCCTGAACCCACCTGGCTCCCAGACAGACCAGCAGCTGAAACTTCCCGTCTTTGCCGATGTTCCTGGAGGTGGAGTTGATGGCGTTGACGTAGCGGCAGAGTGATTGACAGGTCATTCCCAGAGGCTCTGCTGTCTCCTGCAGGTCTCCCATCTGGTCAGCTGACTCCATGTAGGCGACGGCCCTCTCTGCGGAGCGGAGAGCGAGGGAGAGCGGTTCATCGACAACGTTAGACTGAGAGATTACTCGCCACGTTTACAGCTTTAGGAGCTCATGTGGTCACAGGAACCGTCTCAGGAGGACACTGAGCCCCACCCCCCACCCCCCAGCAGGTGGCGCTGTCGCTCCACTTACCAACAAAGTCCCACACAAACACCGTCCTCTGAAAGAGACGCGCCGACTTGAAGCCGTGATTGAAGAACTGTTCGAGAGCCGAAACCAGACTGTTCTCTCCGCAGAGCAGGACGGTCAGACTGCCCCTCTGCACACAAACACACACAATAAACACAAAATACACATAATTGAACACAAAAACAACAATCGAACACTGATAGAGACGACACCGCGGTCCAGATCAGCGTTTTTTTTTCACGTTAAAATTGTTTTTGTTTTTTTGTTTTTTTTGTTTTTTTTGTTTGTTTTTTGTTTTTTTGTTTTTTTGTTTTTTTTGTTTGTTTTTTTGTTAAAATCCGACATTTCTGAGTCGCTCCTTTCAGCTCTGATTTAGTTTAGAGTTTTTTTTTACGAAGCTTCGGAAGATAAAGATCGGGTTTCTCCTGAAATAATCCGACCTCAAAGGTCAGAGGTCGTCACCGACCTCAGAGGTCAGAGTTCGTCACTGACCTCTTTCTCCGGTTTGTGGAAATGTTTGATGATGTTGTTGACGGCGTCCACCGCCGCCTCCTGGATCTGCGCCGACGTCGGCTCTAAAAACAAAGATTAAAGCTACAGTGAGAAATTTTCACCAAACAGTAACTATTGAAAACTGTCAGGGGGGCGGAGCCTAAAAAAATGTGGTCATTAACCACGCCAATACTGACTGGCGCCTCTCGCAGACATCGACGTGATGCTGATGCGTCTGGTCTGAGTCGGCGAGCGCTGCGGCGGGGGTGTACGGCAGCCTTTCCCAGAATCCTCCTCTGCGCTCGGCACCACCAGCTCACCTATCAGGACCCGCTCCAAGCTGCCGTCGTCCACGCCCTTACCGAGCCAGCGACCGCAGGGAAACCTGAAGGGGGCGGAGTCAACACAGTGCAGAGGGTTAAATCTCTCCTCTTATTGGTTGTCGAGGTTCTGATCTTCTCGCCGTCACTCACCTGTACGTGTGTCCTGTGATCTCATTACGAACCATCACGCAGTCAACCAGCCACTTGGCGAGGAGGCCGGCGTTATCGTGACCCAGCTGGACCGTGGTCAACTTCCCGAGGTTCTGACACTGAAGGGGGGGAGGAGTCGACCAAAATCAGACGCCGTCAGAACAACCATGAGGTCAAACAGTTTCTACAGAAAGATCTGAATCCTGACTACAGGGAAACGCACGCAGAGAGAAGTGCATGATGGGACATGGGGGGTGGGGCTTCTTCTGACCTTAAATAAGGCCGAGATGAACGTGTGCGGTCTGAACGCAGACTGAGGGAGACGGAGACATTCGTTAGGAAACACAGACGGACGACAAAAATGATTCAGACGATTTCACAGACATGCAAATAAAAAACAACAAAGGAGAGAAACAAACAAAACAACAAACAACAAACAACAAACAAAAACAAAGAAACAAACAAACAAACAAACAACCAACAAACAAAAACAAACAAAAAACAAACAAACAAACAAACAAAAAACAAACAAAAAACAACAAACAAACAAACAAACAAACAAAAACAAGGAAAAACAAAAAACAAACAAAGAAACAAAAAACAAAAAAAACAAACAAAGAAACAAAAAATAAACAAAATCAAAGAAACAAAAAATAAACAAAAACAAAGAAACAAAAAATAAACAAAAACAAAGAAACAAAAACCAAAAACAAACAAAAACAAAGAAACAAAAACAAAAAATAACAAATGAGAAACAAACAAGAAACAAACAACTCTGAGAAACAAACACGACCACGAGGAGACAGGAGGACGACAGGAAGTCTGGACTGATCTGAGAATCTTCTCTGGACCGTCACCTAAGGTCCCGACTATGAAGCTGGATTAATTCGCCCAGGAGAACTTCGCCAAAACCCGCCCATCTCCACCAATTCTCTGTGATCCTGAATAACTGAATCCAGTCTAGATCTGTGCGCGCACACGTAAGGGGGGCGGGGTCACATGTCGTCGTCTGATGGTCACATTTGGGGTTCAGAGGCGTTTTCTAAATAATGGCTGATATGAAACTGGAACGTGGAGATCGGCAAGTATTCGTGCGTTTCTTAGACTTCCTGTTTCCTGAATATTGGCGCCGTCTGAGGAAAACCTGTAACGTTCACGGAGAACGTCATCAGGTCAGTCAAACGGATTTGAACGACCACGAATATAACGCTCTCGGCGAAGCGCTCCTCTCACTATCTGTGCCCCGATATCCACGAGATCCGGCAAAAGTTGGCAAGTCATTTTCCAAGAGATCTGATTGGTCAGTGGGCGGTCTTTTCTAGCCGCTGAGATCTTATCCTGAAACATGACCTGCTCTTTGGCGTTCCATCTAAGTTACCGGGCCAACGGACCCTGAAAGAAAGAAATCCACCTTCGTAGTGAAGAAAACCCAGAAGTTATCTCGCCAAGATCCAGTCCAGCTTCGTGGTCCAAATCGCCGTCTGCTCCGGGTTTTTATTCGCCTCGATTGAACGACTCGCCGGCGTGAACGCGAACATCAACAGTCACTGAAAATCATCCTGTTTCATCAAACTACCTCAAGATCTCTGGTGCTGCACGCAGTCAGAGCGTCGATAAGAGCACGCCGCTCTTATTTTGAAGGGGTCACACCACGCCACCACAGTCAGTGAGGGGTCAAAGGTCACAGTACTCACGTCAAAGGTCATCTCCAGCATGTTCTTGGGGATCTGCATGATGCCCGAGTCGCCCAGCTCTCCTGACACACACACCCACGGGTTGGAGGTGGTCATGGCGTTACTCAGCTTCTTGATGGGGATGATGACGACTCGGTACGGGATCACTGCAGGGACAAACGTCAGGTCAGAGGTCAGAGGAGGTGAGGAGGAGGAGGATTCTTATTGGACATGAGAAACTCTGAGGAGGAGGGGGACTAAGAGGGTCAGGACCACATCTGAGGAGTCCCCCCCCCCTAGTCCACCTTAAACGGGTTCAGGTCAAAGGTCGTGTTCATGAGAGGAAGAACTCACTGATGGTGGTGAAGACGCTGGTGAAGCAGAAATAATCAACGGCGTTCAGAGAGAGGAGGTGGTAGAGGAACTGCTCCTTCTCCTCCTCACAGCGCAGGAAGGCGTAACGCTTGTAGAACTTCCTGAAGAACCAAAGAAGAGTTTAAAAACAGCGGGAGGAGCGACCCGACCCGGAACCATGAGGATCAATCATGGTCTCAGTTTCAGAGTCTCAGTTTCAGAGTCTCAGTTTCAGAGTCTCAGTTTCAGAGTCTCAGTTTCAGAGTCTCAGTTTCAGGGTCTCAGTTTCAGGGTCTCAGTTTCAGAGTCTCAGTTTCAGGGTCTCAGTTTCAGAGTCTCAGTTTCAGAGTCTCAGTTTCAGGGTCTCAGTTTCAGAGTCTCAGTTTCAGGGTCTCAGTTTCAGGGCCTCAGTTTCAGAGTCTCAGTTTCAGGGTCTCAGTTTCAGAGTCTCAGTTTCAGGGTCTCAGTTTCAGGGTCTCAGTTTCAGAGTCTCAGTTTCAGGGTCTCAGTTTCAGGGTCTCAGTTTCAGGGTCTCAGTTTCAGAGTCTCAGTTTCAGGGTCTCAGTTTCAGGGTCTCAGTTTCAGAGTCTCAGTTTCAGAGTCTCAGTTTCAGAGTCTCAGTTTCAGGGTCTCAGTTTCAGGGTCTCAGTTTCAGAGTCTCAGTTTCAGGGTCTCAGTTTCAGAGTCTCAGTTTCAGGGTCTCAGTTTCAGAGTCTCTCATGTTTCAACAACACTCTGACGTCGTTGAAATAAGGTTCTGATCCAAAACAGGATTCACAGAGAGCAGAGTGACTGAAAAGTTAACGGACCGGGGAACAGACCGAGTGTGTGTGTGTGTGTGTGTGCACGTGTGTGTGTGTGTGCGTGTGTGTGCACACGTGCGCTCACTTGGTTAGGGCTTGTCGGCTCAGCAGCTGTTTGAGGTGCTGAGACAGCAGCTTCTTCTCCAGAGACAGACGGATCCAGGCCCGGGCTCGACCCACGTCGGTCTTTATCTCCGACATGTTCTGGACGTGTCTGAAGAGACCGAAGGACAAACTGAAGGTCAAACTGAAGGTCAAACTCAAGGACAGACTCCACAGAAACCTGCAGGAACTAAATCCTGATCCTGTTTTTGGGACTGAAACGTTGACCTGATGAACCGGACCGTAATGGCGCTCAGAAACAGGAAGTGACTGCTGAAGTCCGGACCTGAGACCAGATTAGACCTGCAACCCCCAGACCATGACAAACCACATCCTGACAACAGGGACTACAACAGCAGACCCCAGAACCTGGTCTGCTGGGTCCACTAAGGTCTGAGGACTGAGGATGAT